GGGAACTTCGTCTAGCCTTTCTTCCTTCTCTACAGCCTTAGGGCTATGGTGGAGCACCTCCCTAGGCTAGCGCCACTCCACCTAGCCTCTCCAGCCTGTTCCACTAGCCTGGAGTCGCCTCCAGAGCTCAAAATTGGCAGCGGTTCCCGTCCTCTCGCTCGGGTTGAGCTTAGAGCTCTCCTTAGTACATTCCGACAACATGTTCTTGCCTCATGCAAATGTAAGTGAGGTGGGTAGCCTTTGGACCTCTCCTATGTGCCCAAAGTGAGTTGAGGTGCCCCCAAGGCGTCCCATCACCCATGGGCTTCTTCGGAAGCACCTGGGCGTCATTTTGGTCAGGTACATGTAGTCGGAGTGGTTGGTACCAACTTGGACAGCCTTTGGGAGCACTCTATGCTTTACTTTTATCCATAGATGTTGTCCCTTGGATCCGTATGATCAAGGGGCAATCTTGATTGAAAAGAAAAGACCTTTCGGGCCTTTTCTCAACTTTCTTCAAATACCACTCATTTTTTAGTCGGTTGAGGTACCTCTTGTACCTCCGTTCACCTTGGACCATAGATCTAACCAAAATCCAAGGCTAGATCTAGTCCGAGTGAGGCCCAAGTGATCCTTGCTTCAAGTTAGAGCCCTAAAGGCTCTTCCTTTCATTTTCTAGTGTATTTGACCACAATTTTTGGCCAGATACACTGTTTTGTTTCTTCCTACTTTTGTTTCTTTCCATTTTGGGCTGCCAACTCATTCCGGAGCCGGCCGTTTGAGTTGACATCACCAAAAATGGTTATTTAATCTTGTCCCTAGCTCAAATTCTCAGATCTAGGGCCAAAATGAGAACGGCCATCAAACTTTTGCTTTTTTTTTTTTCTTTTTCTCTTTTTAATTCAGTTTTTTTTTAGATATGGCCCCAAGGGCCTTATTTCTTCACACCGGATTTACCTCCACTAATTCCAGTGTGCATATATCAGCGTAGGGCCGAGGTACCTCTTAACAGTCTCTACTTTGCCAGTCCCTACCCAACGACCTACTCATTCCCACCTTTTTCTTCCGTTTTGTTTCATTCTCCCTCGTTTTTTTCTCCCTTTTCTTTTCTTTTCTTTTATTTTCGTCATGATAAGCGTCAGCCAACTGTTGATACTTTTTCTAGGCCCTAGATCTTGATCCGGATCTAGATCATGATCTAGTAGAAGTCCGAGATTTCTCGAACTGCAATAATGGTCAGTTTGCCTTCGTTAGTCCCAAACTACAACCCTTCTTGCCCCGATTTATCCTAGGTAGGCCATTTACTGTGTAGAGCCACCCAAGGCTCTATTTTCTCAGTCCTAGGTGGTCAAGAATATCTCGGACTGCACCCTAAACCCTCCTTCCTTATTTTTCCCTTTTCCTTCTCCTGAAAACTCCACATTTTTTAGCCCACATCAGACATTTGAAAATATTAGCACCACTAGTTCGAGTAGCACCACTAGTGCGAGCACTAGTGGTGCTAATATTTTCAAATGTCAGATCTTAATTTGATGGTGGACCTTTCTTGTATTGTCCATTCTCCATGCTGCATCACAATTTTCTTGCGATAACTTAGGTCCTTGTCACTTATCTTGTACTTGTCCCGCTTCTTGGTCCCGCCTGTGGCACTCACGGTTAACGACCACCTAAAATTTCAGAATGAAAGATTCTGAAGTGGTCTGAAACCGCTGAAATGGCCTGAAGACACTTCAGGTCATTTCAGAAGTTTCGGGTGGTTTGCAGGACAAGTTTTATGTTTTTTTTTTTTTTTCTGCGCGCTTTTTCAGCCACTTCAGGTCATTTCAGGAATTTCAGGTGGGGACCTGAAACCACTGAAGTGGCTGAAGCTTTTGAATGGGGTTTCAGGTATCCCCATCCAAATGGTTGGATGCGGGTCCCTAAAACCCCTTTCAGAAGCTTCAGCCACTTCAGGTCATTTCAGGAATTTAAGGTAGGGACCTGAAACCGCTGAACTGGCTGAAGCTTCTGAAAGGGGTTTCAGATACCCCCATCCAAATGGTTGGATGGGGGTATCTGAAACCCCTTTCAGAAGCTTCAGCCACTTCAGGTCATTTCAGGAATTTCAGGTGGGGACCTGAAACCGCTGAAGTGGCTGAAGCTTCTGAAAGGGGTTTCAGGTATCCCCGTCCAACCAATTGGATGGGGGTACCTGAAACCCCTTTCAGAAGCTTCAACTACTTCAGGTCATTTGAGGAATTTCAGGTGGGGACCTGAAACCGCTGAAGTTGCTGAAGCTTCTGAAAGGGGTTTCAGGTACCCCCATCCACATGGTTGATTGGGGTACCTGAAACCCCTTTCAGAAGCTTCAGCCACTTCAGGTCATTTTAGGAATTTCAGGTGGGGACCTGAAACCGCTGAAGTGGCTGAAGCTTCTGAAAGGGGTTTCAGGTACCCCCATCCAAATGGTTGGATGGGGGTACTTGAAACCCCTTTCAGAAGCTTCAGCCACTTCAGGTCATTTCAGGAATTTCAGGTGGGGTCCTGAAACCGCTGAAGTGGATGAAGTTTTTGAAAGGGGTTTCAGGTACCCCCATCCCACCATTTGCAATGGATCTGTAGGCAATCTGAAAGTGGTGTATCAACCTGAAGTAGCTGAACTGCCTGAAGGCGGTTTCAGACAACCCCATGTATAGATCCACACACAATCTGAAAGTGGTGTAGTAACCTAAAGTGGCTGAACTGCCTGGAAAGGAGATCCGAAAATATATGCACCCGTTAACCATCTCTCGCCTGTGGTCACACCGATCGCAGTCCCAAACAGTGATTGTTTTTATTTGGGTCCGTCTAGTTCCCGATAACCCCCTCCTTAACGCCCAACTTTTATTTGGGAGTACCTGGTCCTCGACAGTCGCGTTTTCCCTTCTTCTTATGTGCCACTTTTACGACAAATATTGCTGGCCGTTAGATCTTGATCTGGTGGTCGAGATCATCGTTGCAAGTTGCTCCCTTGTGCTTGGAGCACTTCCCCATGTATTTTGAAGATGCCAAGGGCCATCTTTACTTGGCCCATGCATCCTCTTGCAGTGTGTTAATTTTTGAAGTGCAATGAGGTCATCTTTCCTAGCCTCATTGCCCCAGAACTTGCCCCAAACTGAAACAAAATTGGGCGGCACATTTTCAGGTGCATCCGAACTGAATATTGGCTCTGGATGTACTTAAAACATGTGTTTGCTTTACTTTTCGTGGTATGCTGCATCACAACCACAAAGCATCCTGATTTTCTAGAGGCTTGAGATTTAGATACATTGCACATGAATCTCCCCATTCCCATGCCTTTGTGCCCAGGATGAATCAGGTCACAAATATATTTAAAACATGGTTTTTCCTTGGCCTCGTGTTTTACCGTTTCAGTCCCAACTGCATCTAGGCTTGATGCAGGCCATGATGTGGTGGTTTGTCTCTTTTTCACTCCCACACTCTCCTACCTCTCCCATTCTCCCTCTAGGCCCTTTTCTCTCTACCTTTGCTGACCGTTTTATCTCGGACCACACTAGAACCCTATTTTTCAGGTTCATTGTACCTAGGCCCTTCAAAACTAAATCCTTTCTAGTCCGTTGCATCCCCCTTGAGTCCCTTCTTAATTTCAAGGCCTCGAAGCCTTGACATTGAGACTTTCTCTCTTTTATCTTAACCTCTTCTATTTCGGAACTCAAAACAACCACCCTTTTTCAAGTTCACTGTGCCCGAACACTAACATGGGTAGTGTCCTGCAGTCCGCTGCACCCCTCAAGCCTCCCATTCTAGTCCCACTCCGCCTAGGCTTCTCCCACGCACAGGCTAGGGCCACTCTTGATGGCACAACGACACCATTTTCCTTTGTCGTCGGCCCATTCGCTGTGGCACACTACCCTTGTGCCATTTTCACTTGTGGCCTCCCCTTTCCAATGGGGCCATCTTATGATTATTTTTCTTCTCTCATTCATTCAATTCTTGTTGAAGTTGAGCATTCCCCCCTTATCGTTGTTCCGGCGCCGTAATGGCAAACCCCACATGAAATTCCTGTGCCGTGGTCCGTTCATCTTACTAATTTATGTCCTTGCCTTTTTCGGGTCACTTGGTGGTCTTTTCCCGATGTGGCGTTCTTCCTATGCCGTGCGACCGCCAAAACCGTTTTTACCACTTTGCCATGTCCGCAAGTCCTTAGCAACGTTTGTTTGCTAAAACATAATTTCTTAGGTAACCGATCTCCGTTGCTTTTGTATTTTTAATATGTGATGCCTGACGACATTCCCCAGGTTCGTCGTTGGAACGGAATTGTTCCGATCATTTTTGCCCATCTTTTCCTTGTTCCCTGGATTACGGGAAAAACTGTATTTCTCCGGTGTTTCCCGGAATCCTCTCAAACCATTTCCCACTCCGCTATTGGCTCCTCTCTTTGTCTAGTCTAAGTTCATGTGCCATTGTGACCTTCTTTACAGCCGTTCCCGCTTGCTTTTGTGTCCCACTGGTCTCGAGTCCCGTCTTGGGCCCTTGGTCCCAGCGGTCCCGCTTTAGCCACCCCTCTAGTCTTACCCTCTTCGCTCGTCCTCTTTCCTCGTATTCCTCTGCTGTGCACATTCTTGTCATATATTTTTTCTCAAGTGTCGGGACTTGATTCGAGAACCAGAGGTTCCGACACCAGCCTGCATAAGCGGAGGGGTGAGTCCCTTGCCTCACGGAGCTCATTGGGCCTCGCATATAGGAAATGGATGAACACCTGAAGGAGGATGCTTGGTCGGCTTCGGGAAAGAAGAGGGACTCTCAACGAATTCCCTGGACTGCTTGAGCATTGGAAGGAGCAATTGCTTGAGAACACAATATGGAACCAAGAATCGACGCTTTGCCTAGATGAACAAGCCTACCCACCCCATCGTGAGGGTTGAGATACATCCCCCAATGTCAAGGTTCTCTCGCTCGATGGCCCATCCCCAACCATATCAAAGCACTAGGTGGGGGTGACCTTGTGACGATACGCCCCGCGCCCTTGATATGTACGCGGGCGGGGCTGAGCCAGCTGGGACCCCTCCCTAGACGGAGGGAGGGGTCAACGAGGCTCGAAAGTCTAACAGGGAGGGGCCCTACAACGTGTCGACAGCAGGTAAGTCCAGGTAAGCTTCCCCACATCTCCCTTCAGTCTCACAGCCTTGTTCCTCCTCCTCACCGATCCTCATCACCTAGTTTACATCTAGGTGGTTATGGCCGCGCCAACATAATCTCACTCTAGGCTGGCGCTCACCAGCAGCATCTGGCGCCAGCATCCAACTCCAGCAGCACCGCGATACAGCACTAGCATAAATCGAGCGCAAGGCAGAATGCATTCCCCAGTGTTTGACTGGCGTGGACCAGTCTCCCCTTTGATAGTGTCGACGCTCCAGATATGCCCGATCTTATTGGCCTTGATGCAGCCTTGAAGCAGCGGTACCTTTTCCCAGTCGGGACTGGAATCTTCTGGATACCTGCAGACAACCATTGATGTGCATCTGATCTATGGCAGAGGTGGACTAATGGGTTGACTTTGACTTTGGGCCTGCTTTCACCTCACGTGGGGGCTCTGGACGCTGTTTTTGACCCTTGATACCCCTTGACCTTAGGCCCTTTCCTAGACATTTCTCGAACTTGGGACGTGACCTTTGACCCCTGTTTCTGGCCTTTGACCAAAAGTGACGACCCTTGCCCGCGACAGTGTGGCCATGAACTGAGTTTATTGTAGGTGGGGTGTGCCAACCCCCCCCTTTCCCCGACAATTCTTTTGACGACCTCCTATTTTCGGGGGCGCGCGCATGCATCCTCATGCGCTGTGTGCCACAGGTGTGGCATGGTCGTGCAGCCAGTGCACTGCATGTATGATCTTCATCATTGTCTGGGCTCGCCGGTGAAAGTGTCCTCGCTGACAGACCCAAGATTGGTGTTTACCTCTGATGCTTTGCGTAATGGACAACAGCGAATTGCCTCATGTGTGCGCTGGGCATGGAAATGGTCGACGGTTGTATTATCTTGTAGCCTTACTATCAATACATGCATGGGCGATAGTGTCATGGTGCCGTGTTATCCATGCCACACTGTCGGATATGGCTTGTGCGGCTCGTGTGTATGGTCGAGCTCCTTTCACAAGGATGTCTTAAATTTGGTAACTGTTTTGATCTTTTCACACAGTCTTTCTCACTTTTGTTCCTACATTTTCTAGTCTTCTTCCCTCTCCTGTTCAGGAGGACATTGCCACACTGTACTCCTCTTTATGATTTAAGCACTGGCTGACAGACTTTTGCTCCATCACGTTTCGTTTTTTGTTTACTCTCCTGTGCAGGAAGACACTGCCACACTGTACTCGTATGCTTGCCTCCGTATGATCCCGTCTGTAATCCACAGAGGGTCGTCGACGACTGAAATGTTATCATCAGCATTGACATCTGCAGCACGTGGGCTCAGAAAGAAAGCTAGTTCTATGTCTGGGATATCCTCATTCTCCACTACACCGCTTGCCAAGAGTGCTCCAGCAACACCGACCAGACATATGCAGTGCAGCGGCCCCAAATCTGTGGGCACAACTAGCTCCTGGAATAATAATATTGGAGCAGGCTATGCGGAGCCCTTGTCTCCACCACAGCGGTCTAGTTTTGCTGGCAGCCCTGAGGATTCTGGTGTGAGTCAAGGAGAAAGGTCAGAGGCAGAGTGTGGAGCAGTAGGTACGAGCACACCGGCTGCATCTCCACCTTCTCTGGTTCGTTCCGGCACTTGCGTATCAGATGGCAGTGTAGATATGAGGTCGTGCATGGATTCTCCAGGCACACCTCGTCCATTGAAACCTCGTTCCTGGTCTTGTGATGACAATGGCTTTCTACAATCTTCTGCCGGGTCCTCGTTGGCAGGAAGTGAGGTTCAAGGTGGTGAAGTTAGACAAGGGCAAGGCGGAGCAGAGGTCTTCAACGGCGATCGAAAGGGCAATGGAGGAGTCCCTGTTGTCTATGTGAATGGAGGTGAGCCGTTGCAGCTATTGGCCTATCAATACAAGAATCTTACTATGCTGATGCTACTACCTTCTCTGCCCCTAATTGCAAGTGCTGCAAGCGGTCTCATCAGGGACCAGCTACTTGACAAGGTGCGCAAACCCAATTCTTCCCCTAGTGCGGTGGAAAGCCAGTTTTTTTCTCTTCTCACTGAGCATGACCCACACAAGAATTTGATATACACTGACTTCATAAGAAATCAATCTGTAGCAGGGCTGTGCCGGCAACCGGCCGGTTGGACCCCCGGGGGTCCAACCGGAATTCCGTTTGGGTCCAAAAGTGGGTAAAAAAATAATAAGTAAAAAAAATTGAAAACATGGTTGGACTGAGCTTGCCGAGATCTCCCCGAATCCGCAAAGAAAACTTTGAACAGAGAAGTTTCATTTGGGGGGTTGGGGGATTGGGGGGGGGTTGGGGGCGCGGGCGGGGTGGGGGTTATTTCAGGGGTTGGGGGTCGGAGGTTGGGGGGTTTATGGTGAGGGTGTTAGTGGTGGGGTTTCAGCAAGCAAGGGCATCAGCAGACTTTGACAACAACGTACCTGGCTTTCTGCAAATGTTAACCTTCCGCCCAAAAACTTTGAAAAGGGGCCTGGGGGTGTTAGTGGCAGGGTAGGGACGGTTCTTCGCACCCAAATCTTTGAAAAGGGGGGTGGGGGTGTTAGTGTTAGGGGGTGCTTGTCAGTATTGTCACTGCCGTCTGGTCCAAGTTGCTCTCGATACTGGTAGGGTGATGGTACTGAGTGCTGGTCACACTGAGGTAGGATAATAGGGATAGGGGGTGCGCTGGGAGCATTAACGTCGGGAAGGGTAGGGAAGGTGGCCTATCTTGTCAGGACAGCCACCGGCTGCTGCTGCCAGTGATCACCGTGGGCCCGTCCTTGGCCTCTACAACACCGTGGGCTTAAAATTGAAAACAAAAAAAAACAAAAAAAAGATTCGTTACAGCCAACCGGGGGGGAACCGGCCCGGTCGACCGGCCTGTAGGACGGGTCCGGTTCCAGTTGGGAGAGGGCCCCCGGTCCTACTGGGCTTACATCACTGATCTGTAGCCCACTATGTGTCTTGTTGTAGCCCACTATGGCTCCAGCTGTCGCTCCGAAAATGGAAGGGGTGAGAGAGGAATCTGTACCTGTTGCAGTTGAAATTGTTGCGACTTCTAGTCGTACTTCACCAACCAAAATGCAAGAGCATGAACAGGTGATCATGACAGCAAAAGCAAACTTTCAGCAAAGAATGATGCGATGTGGACAAACCTATCGCAACAGATCAAAGGAGCCAGCTTGATTGATTGATTGATTGATTGATTGATTGATTGATTGATTGATTAGTCAAGTAGGGCTTCGTCAAATCTCTGCAAAAAAAATATGTTCGAAACAGATCTCCGGAAAGTTGGATATTAGCATTTCGTTTTTTTGTTTCACTCTGGGCATAGCAGGCGAACTAGGAAGGTAGTCATATTCTCGGAAACTGGATCTATTCTTCTCTGAAAGTGGAACCTCCATTCTATTCCGCGCAAATTTTATTTTTTCAAGATCGCATTTTTTGAAAGCCGGAACTTTGCGAAACCTTGCCTAGATCTCGCTCATAGCACTCCTCCGAAAGGCCTCACTAATAGCCGATCGACAGATATTCCAAAAAAAAAAAAAAAAAAAAAAAA